CGATTTTGGCAATTAGATTAATTTTCACCTCTCAAACTCTTTTCTATACCAAATCTGAACATAAAATTTCGATCTTGTGCTAACTTATCGAAAAGAAAAGGATGTGTCTGCCATTACCAGTAACGTCTGTTGTCAGTTTGACTTTAACGCACACGCGCAATCTCTCTCTCTCTCTCTCTCTCTCTCTCTCTCTCTCTCTCTCTCTCTCTCTCTCTCTCTCTCTCTCTCTCTCTCTCTCTCCAAAAACTAGTGGCAAGATCGTGCTAAAACCTATGAAATGACAATACCTGAGGATTTTTTTTATGTATCCCAGTAATAACTCTTATGGAAAATAGAAAATCACAAATCAAGACGACAATCAATGTATGAGAGAGAGAGAGAGAGAGAGAGAGAGAGAGAGAGAGAGAGAGAGAGAGAGAGAGAGAGAGAGAGAGAGAGATTAAACGGCTGTATTCGGGTTGAAAAATGAACTTAATATCATTTGTGTGATGCTGCTTGTTACATGTGTACTTCATGTACAAAACGACTATACCATTGCATACGAAACAAACAGCACCTTGGGTACGAAACGACAATTACCTTGGGTACGAAACGACGTGGGTAGGGAATGACCAGGTTCGGTAATTATATACCAAGAGATAGAAACATTTCTAATCAAAACAAAACTTGGCAATCCTAGTTCCGTTGAAAAGAAAATTATATATATATATATATATATATATATATATATATATATATATATATATATATATATATATATATATATATATATATATATATATATATTTTTTTTGGTCGGATTGATATACTGCTCTCCCCAGGTAATGCAGTATAAACCATCAGGAAAGCTCGTTCATATTTTTCATTACAAAGGCAGTAACCTATAACTATTGAATTAGGAATAAAAAAAAGTAATGGAAGAGTTATTTACCTTTATTAGTTTCTCCTTATAAAGTTTCTAACCTATACAGAGTGACCTGAATCTGATACATCCCAAATGTTATCAGTTACTTATCAATTTATGATTGTGATATTGTTAAAAATCATCTATAGCATAAATTGTTAATTTCATCAGTGTACCTGTCACACACCGCACAATACTGTCAGGTCTCCAAAATATTCCCATAACAAGTGTAAGGTAATAAAACATAGATCCCTTTATACTGAAATTCTTTAAATTTCTATCCACGGTACCCCACGTGACACAATCACCATTTCAATTAGTAGAAGACTGAGGTTAAATTCAATAAAGTTTTTGCAAAAAGTTTGTAACATTGTTTAAAATTAAGGGTGTAGAACTTCAAATTTCCTCTAAATTCAGCATGAACAGCATCTGCATCCGCACTGAGCACTTTATTATTTTGCCCTCTTCTAGAATGCTTTCGGGACAGGACATGCTGCTGTATCAATCTTGGTTTCCTTGTCCACTCGGTGATTGAAAGTTTGTCTGCATATTCCTCTCTAAGCAGAACTCGAACAGCTCCATACTAATGGCCTTTTTGATGTAATACAAGTCCAAAATGTATTTGGATCTCTGACGGCAAATCGAAGATACAGACTGAATTGCTTCCTTGCTCCGTTACCTTCTTCTTTTGCAACTCTAATTCTTTCATCGAACTCGTCCATTGCTGGTTTAATTATATCCCATCCCTCTGGATATTTCATTCTTCTAACATTAAGAATATTTGTGTGTTAGGTTCTGTGTGGCAATGAACGGAATGCACAATTATAAATCTCCGATGAAAGTGACTTCTTATATTAGGTCAGATTCTCGTTGCATATTCCTGGTCGTTATTATTAAAGAATTCAATTAGCCCCGAAACAGACCAATAGTATTCCAGGTGATCAAGGATTTTAATTTCACCTCAAGTTGAGTACCATTTCTCAGTCTAATTACTCCCTATATTTTGACAACTGGATGAATCGGCAAACTTATTTACCGGAAATTCCTAACCAACAAACCAATTAAAAAACACAATGTTTTGTAAAGGTGAAGCAGCTATAGTACTATTATAAGTAAGAATGACCATCAGGTTGTTAATCCCCTCTGCTGATCTATTATAATCCGCACTGCATACAAAATACTAACGTTTCATTCCATCTTAATTAGATTTAATCCTGCATATTTCACTCAAAACGCTATCAACACTTAAATCGAAAACTTGTCGGCAAAGCTAATTAAAGATTAAGATTTCTAAAACTTATTTATTACTAAGAATTGTTTGAATCGAAACTCGGAAACATACATGAATGCCTATTTATAAAATAAAAAGCAAACAAAGATCATATAATGGTAACATAACATTTATAAAATAAATTGTGGCTTATTATATACACACATGCATACATACATACACGCATACACACAAATATATATATATATATATATATATATATATATATATATATATATATATATATATATATATATATATATATATATATATATATATATATATATATATATATATATATATATATGTATGTATGTATGTGTGTGTGTGTACATACACACATACACACAGATATATATGTGTGCAGAACGAAGCTGGTGACCAATGAATGGGAAACATATTGGCTTGGTTAACTTTTGCTATCCTCGCATTAACAAAACTGATTATTCTAACAGTTTGTTGTTGTTGACATTGGGTTTAAGGCTATTTTTCAGCACAAGATAGGCTATATATGACGGCTAGTATATATGAAGGTGGGAGAACATGCGACTTTTTCAATGAGATTAAGATATTCTGGTTTAAGCTCTTTGTTCATTACACCAGGAATAATTTCAACATCGTCGAAGGAAAGCAGGAGCCGCTACATTCTGTGATTAATGTTAACTGTTAATAGTACTTGTATTATGTTTGTGTAATTACGAATAGGGTACCTAATTAATATTAGAGCAATTAAGAAATGCAAAGTTATTTAACTAATCGCCATAAGAACAATGGAAGAATCGGTAGACCAGTTGGGAGAGCGCCTGACCTGTAATCCAGAGAATGACTGTCCGATACCCCAGCCGCACATCCCGAGTCAGCTCCTTCGGTGTGCACTTTGAAAATTAATTATATCAAATTTTTCTGTATGACATAATAGTTTTATTTAAAAATTCCGTTTGCGATGTTTATTGAGGCGTACTAGTTATGTATAGCTGTACTAGATATGTATAATGTATCAATTGCCAACATAATTTGACAAACTTGTGTTTAAATAGTCTTACAAATTTATGACAGTAAACTTATTAATAATGTATGATAATATTTTGCCGACTTAGAGATGCGTAACTGACTGTGATGTTCTTGTGATGTGTGACACCGTAGCTAGAACTTGACGTAATTTCAAAGAAGTCAATTACATGCAGCCTACAAGCAATGCAATTAAACAACACAGAATAATGCAATATAACTTGTGTTCATTATACATAGTATCCCTTACCTGTAATGTGGTTTTGCATTATGTTATAGATTACGATAATAAGTAATGAAACTGCTTTCGACTGATGCAATACATTAATACCAATTAATGTCATACACTCTTTTTAAAATGTAACGAACATATATATATCGATATGTCATTAGGAAACATATCCAATTCCGTTTAACATTTCTCTGAATTATATGTTTATGGTAGAAAGTTCATAAGTAAAGACATATAAACGCAACGGACACTTAATTGTTGGTTTATTATTATCTTCAGGCAACATATTCATATTTGCAAGGACACTGTTAAATATTCATTTATTTATTTATTCGTTCTGTCGGTCAGTCGGCCAGTCAAAGACGCTGTATTATTACTAGAATTTATATTTAAGGGAAGATTTGAAACCAAGTATTACACATGCATGTATGCATGCATGACATGCATACATACAAGCATGCATCCATGTATCCATGCATCCATCCATCCATCCACATCCATCCATCCACATCCATCCATCCATCCATCCATCCATCCATCCATCCATCCATCCATCCATCCATCCATCTATTATGATAAGAAAACTCTGCTTTTTTGTTTAGATGTTTTCTATCATAACCTTCTTCTCGTGTCTATTTACGAGAAGGAAGAAAGTTCAGCATTCATAAAAACAAGGTGTCACTTAGAAAAGAGAACTCTATTACATTACATTGACAAACTAAAAATAATTCAGAAGAATACCACAACTTACAATAAAATCTTTAACTTTCAAAAGCGAGTATAAAGCAAAATTTTCTTACCTGTAAGAAATAGACATGACAATCTTTTGAGCCTGGAATCGTACTGAGAATAACCAGTCCAGAGCCTATTTTTATATCTTGGAAGCTGGCAATCATCAGTATTTCATCCGAGGTCAAAAGAGGTCTGTCTAAAAATCACGCATACTTCTTGCGTGCTAGTCAAGGACAGCTTAAACGTTATATCAATTTTAGGGAGGAGATAGAGTGTGAGTCTGTTGTCAGTATTTTTCCTAAAAAAGTCATTCACATTGCGAACTCTCAATCTAATTTCCTTGATTATCAATTACTTTGTTCCCAGCATCACAACGAAATTTAATAAGGTTTTATTGACCGAACTGCGAAATAGCATGTTATTCGTGACTTTCATCTGTTGTTGAACTATCGAACTTGTCTATTATGTTTTTTCCATTACAAATTCAAGCTGAGGATACATTAATAATGCTTAATCTCAATTAATTGCAATGTCCTATTATATTCAGGATATGAATTATTGATTGGGCCATGCTTCTCTTACAATCCAAATCAATATCATAGCACTATCTTAAATTTGGAATTTGGAGGGTTTGCCTTTCACTAACTTATAAATTGCAATATATTCTATACAAGTTATTGTTATCGTTTCTTTCTTTTAAAATTGATATCTTGATACATTCATCCATCCATCCATCCATCCATCCATCCATCCATCCATCCATCCATCCATCCATCCATCCATCCATCCATCCATCCATCCATCCATCCATACCTACCTACCTACCTATATACATACATATATACAAACAGACCGCTCCGATGGCATAGTGGTTAGAGCGTCCGCCTCGGATGCGGGAGTTCGAGGGTTCGATCCCCGATCTTACCTAAGACTTACAAATATTGTACTAACAGCTGCCTCGCCTGACGCTCTGAATTAAGAGTATAGTGTTAGGACTTATCGGCCTAGTGTCAGGATATTGTGACTGGGTGGGACATCATGCTACATGTCTGCGGTATGATGCCCCAGTGCTAGACATCACGATAAACTGCCACACTGCTGACATCGCTGCGATATGTCTGAAAAATTGTTAAAGCTACGTTAAAAATTATAAACACCACCACACACACACACACACATACACACACACACACATACATACATACATACATACATACATACATACATACATACATACATACATACATACATACATACATACATACATACATACATACATACATACATACATACATACATACAGACTTATGTACACACTGTACACACATATAATTATACATACGCTCACACATGTCATGTAATAATAATAATGATAATAATAATAATAATAATAATAATAATAATCTCTCTCTCTCTCTCTCTCTCTCTCTCTCTCTATATATATATATATATATATATATATATATATATATATATATATATATATATATATATGTGTGTGTGTGTGTGTCTGCGTGCATGTACACAGGGAGAGAGATGAGTGGATAAATGTGTAAGTAGGTAGATAGATATACATAGATATACAAACAAACAGACAAGTAAGTCAATAAATGAATTTATTTAATCACAAAATATCTACCAATTAAATTATTGTACAAGGCAATAATTTTATCCTATACACCAATATCTACCAATTCAATTATTGTGCAGCACTGGTGCAATATCTGATGACTGTTTAGGAAGGTCAATTACTAAGTCAAAGTGAGTAGATAACAGCATCAAAGTCCAGCATTGAAGTGACCATTAGTCCATGGCTAATTAAAGTTAATCCCTCAGCCGCCAAGGCTACTAACAAATGGAGTGGCTCTAGAAGACAAATGGAATTTAATTCTAAAATGATTCTTACAAAGACACAATGGTTAGTCCAATTTCATCACAGGAAATGTAAGATTATAATAGGTGAAAACAGCTCTCTTGGACCAATGGTCATCAAAGAAATAAAAGTAGCAAACATTTGGGATGAATGGAACAATTAGCATTTTCAAAAAAATTAATTTAGTTCCTGTCCAGACCAAAAGAGTATAAATACTGACCAACAGACATAGACCTTCATTGCAACTTAAATTTTGTTGGTATGTGTTTCAAGACTGTAACACTGCACACTTGATAAAAAGTTTCTTTCAATTAGCACTACCTAAAAATACTGAGAACATACTTGAGATTTATTTGTGATATTTGATTTGTGAACTTCTTATTCTGACCTGTTTTTGTGGACCTGTTTTTAAGACCTTTTTGGAATTTATAGAATAATACTATAATGGCAGATCATATTACAGAAACTTTGATCAGGAATCTTCTCCCTGCACATAAAAAAGCACTTGAACAACTTCAAGCTTTAGGTAAGCAAAACAAAATTATATCTTACTAATATATGATTTTCTTTACTGAATTCCTATTGTATGATTCTCAATAAATTTAATGAGAAACTTATTTTAATTGTAACATAAATCCAAATGGAAAATACTAAAACTCAGATTTCAAATAGTATAAATCACTGGCATATCAATGTGTATATAATAGTTCTACTGATAATTTTGTATAAAATGCAAATTCTCATAAAGGTTTGCAAAATCATTGCCATATGAGGATCTTACAAAATGTTTACCCTATATACTCACTTTTAAGTTTGGTGAAGCTGCAAACAGCACTATGATCAAACTTTGTGTTATATGTTTGAATATAATTAGACATACATTCTTCTGGATATTATCAACATACAACAGAGGCAGAATGCATCTCAATTGGCATATGTGTACATTTCATATCATAATGTCAATCAGTTATAAAATTTGGAAAATCTGAATTCTGCCATTTTTCTTTACAACTGACCGATCTGGTGATCAACAAGCTATAGAAGAGGTCTAGTTGATTGTGTCTGCATTCAAAATTTGTGTCTCCATATGTCAGGACATGATATGACATGAAACGTGCTGGATTTATGCTTGTTTATGTTGAGTTCACATTAAAAACTGGTCAAACAATAATTTCTACATATGGGATTTATACCTCTAAACAGCAGATGATGACATTTGGTTAACTCAGGTCTTATCCTTCATCTTGCCTAATTTCGTCATCAGATTTTCTCATAATAAATCAGAAGAAATAAAACCCTGATAAATAAGCCAAATGTCCATGATCATATAGACAACTGATTCAAGTTCATGAAAACTGAATTTTTATGTTACCATTAATTGCCAAAAAGTCATGTAGCACTGAAGGCTCATAATACAAGAGTTTTAACAGAACATGGTACACATATTAGTGATCTAAGTAGTGCTATATTTTTTACTTGTCATTTATACATATTTGACACTAAATAGCTATAATTTACCTTTATGTTTACTTTATAGATACCTACATAGCTGTTCTAAATAAAAGAATGGTGGGAAACTATTTAGATGGAAACTATGGCTATGGCCACCACCTGAACAAGAGATCTTCTTTTGCCATGAGAATTAGGCATGATTTCAAGAGGTATGAAGAAAAAAAATGGAGGCAGGTGTTAGAGGCTGCCAGACAGGTTTATGATGAAGACTCGATGGCTGAACTGGAATCTAGACAGAGAAACCATGGAAGAGACACAACAGTGGACCAGACTGCCTCACAATTGTCATTCTTGTTTAGCGAGTGTTACAGATATAATTAGATTCTCTAATACAAGACATTCTTAATATTGATATCATTCATACTTGACTGGATTTGAACACCCTTTAGTACCATCCATAAGTGACTAGATTTGAACACATTTTAATACCATCCATACGTGACTAGTTTTGAACACTCTTTGATACCATCCATACATGACTAGATTTGAACACATGGATTCCATACATACTTGAGTAGATTTGAACAAACATTGATTCCATACATACTTGAGTAGATTTGAACACACTTTGATAACATCCATACCTGACTAGATTTGAAAACTTTAATAGCATGCAAATTTGACAAGGTTTAAACACATTTTGATATCATACAAACATAACTACATCTCAACTCACTTTGCTACCATCTATGCTTGAAGAGGTTTGAACACACTATTATACCCTCCTTCCTTAACTAGATTTGAACACACCTTGATACCATCCATATTTGACTAGATTTGAGCATAGTTTGATACCATCCATGCTTGAGGTTTTAACACATTTTGATACCATCCATACTTGACTAGTTTTGAACACACTTTGATACCATTCATTCTTGACTAGATTTAAACACGCTTTCATACCATAAATACTTGACTAGATTATAACACCTTAATACCACATAAATTTGACTAGGATTCAACACGCGTTGATATCATCCAAACCTATCTAAATCTAAACTCCCTTTGATACCATCCATACTTTGACTAGATTTGAACACACATTGATACCATCCATACTTGACTAGATTTGAACACGATTTGATACCATAAACACTTGACTAGATTTGATCATGGCATGCCACCATCCATACTTGACTAGATTTGAACACACTTTGATACCATGCATACTTGACTAGATTCTAAGACACTTTATTACCATGAATACTTGATAAAATTTGAACACACATTAATACATTCCATACATGACTAGAATTGAACACACTGATACCATCCATACCTGAACACACTTTGATACCAAATATATTTGACTAGATTTGAACACAATTTAATACCATCCATACATGATTAGTTTTGAACAAACTTTGATACCATCCATACTTGACTAGATTTGAACACATTTTGATATCAGCAACCCTAACTAAATCTAAACAGACTTTGATACCATCCATGCTTGACAAGGTTTAAACACACCTTTATACCATCCATCCTTGACTATATTTGAACACATTTGTTACCATCCATACTGGACTAGATTTGAGCATAGTTTAATACCATACATACATGATGAGGTTTGAACACACATTATTTCCATCGATATATGTCTATATTTAAACACACTTTGATACCATCAAATCTTATCTAGATTTCAAAAACTTTAATACCACGTAAATTGGAAAAGGTTTGAACCCGTTTTGATATCATCCATACTTGTGAAGCTTTGACAACTCTTTGAAAGCATTCATACTTGACTAGATTTGATTACACATTCATATCATCCATACTTTACTTGAATTGAACACACTTTAATACCATTGATACTAGACTTGATTTGAGCACACTTTTATACCATCCATACATGACTACATTTGAACATACTTTTATACAATCCATACTTGACTTTTTTTGAACACACAGTGATGCCATTCATTTCTGATTTTATTTGAACACACAGTGATGCCATTCATACCTGATTTTATTTGAATACACAGTGATGCCATCCATACTTGATTTTATTTTAACACACAGAGATGCCTTCCATACCTGATTTTATTTGAACACAGTGATGCCTTCCATACCTGATTTTATTTAAACACACAGTGATGCCTTCCATACCTGATTTTATTTGAACACACGGTGATGCCATCCATACTTGATTTTATTTGAACACACAGTGATGCTTCCATACTTGACTTTATTTGAACACAACTTGATACCATCAACACTTGGTTAGTTCTGATTGCACATTGACACCATTTATATTTGACAAGATTTTTACACAGTTTGATACTTGACTAGATATACTTGACTAGATTTCAACTCACTTTGATACCATTCATACTTGATGAGGTTTTAACAAACTTTGACACCATCCATACCTAACACTTGGTTAGTTCTGATTGCACATTGACACCATTTATATTTGACAAGATTTTAACACAGTTTGATACTTGACTAGATATACTTGACTAGATTTCAACTCACTTTGATACCATTCATACTTGATGAGGTTTTAACAAACTTTGACACCATCCATACCTAA